ATAATTTACCTCATGTTCAAGATTGTTTGGCAACACTGATGAGTTAAAGAAAAGGAGTTTTTAAAAGAGCTTGTCAATCACGTTTCGGTCACACAAGCGTTATTAACGACAACTGTTTTTGCTTAATCTTTTAACTACATGACGTGAGAGTTAAAAGTAGTTAGCCATTTCAGTCGACGTTACGGTGACAAATTCTCCCAGGTTCTTTCTTTGCGTTCAAAAAGTAGATCGATTGTAAACAGTTTACTTAATGATTTCAGTCTACTATTAATAACAAAGCTATTAAAATATTGATTTATACTCACAGGATTTGATGAGTTGACCAGAATGAAACCAAAATAGATCAGCGCCAATGACAAGACCTTTTCCTCTGAGAAGGTAGAAGAGAAGGAAAAGTTAAGCAAACTATCACTGCTCAAACGATGCTTCCAAACAATTATTCGGGTGACTCACTAATAGCTGCTTTGAAAACAAAATGAAAAGCAGTCGCGCAATTCAGAGAAACCTCTCTCAGTGTAAATTTAAAGTATTAAAAATCAGCTCTACTTGGTATATGTGCACCCAACGCTATCAGTCACAAGCAGCTTACAGTTTATAAACTTACCGTGTTCAGTTTCTCAGTCTTCTGATGAAAATGAAACCAAAAGTGACAAAAACTGAAACAACACTGAGGGAGTTTCCCNGCTTAATCTATTAACTGCACGACGTGAGAATTAAAAGTAGTTAGTCATTTCAGTCGACGTTACGGTGACAAATTCTCCCAGGTTCTTTAATTGCGTTCAAAAAGTAGATCGACTGTAAACAGTTTAGTCAATGATTTCAGTCTACTATTAATAACAAAGCTATTAAAATATTGATGTATACTCACAGGATTTGATGAGTCGACCAGAATGAAACCAAAATGGATAAGCGCCAATGACAAGACCTTCTCCACTGAAAGGTAGAAGAGAAGGAAAAGTTAAGCAAATTATTACTGCTCAAACGATGCTTCCAAACAATTGTTCGCGTGACTTGATTTTTTGCGTGACTCACTAATAGCTGCTTTGAAAATAAAAGGAAAAGCAGTCACGCAATTCAGACAAACCTTTCTCAGTGTAAATTTAAAGTATTAAAAATCTGCTCTACTTGGTATATGTGCACCCAACGCTATCAGTCACAGGCAGCTTACAGTTTATAAACTTACCGTGTTCAGTTTCTCAGTCTTCTGATGAAAATGAAACCAAAAGTGACAAAAACTGAAACAACACTGACGGAGTTTCCCTGCAAGACAATGGCAGGTCCAATATGAAGTCGAAACAAATTAATATTGAAATGAGTTTTAAACGTTGTACAAACCGATAAAGTAAAAATATTCGAAAGTAAGTTACATTTTTTTTTCTATTCCTATTCCTTGCTAAACACTGACGGTAAAGTCCAATAGCTTTTAGAGCATACTGAGTCTTTGACAATAGCAAATAATCACCGAAATGGTTATTAAGGGAAACAAAGCTCCTTGTTGTATATGTTTTCGTTTGCTCTTTAGCTTAGCCGTGCATAAAACACAATAGCTGTTAACTCAGCTTAGCAACAGAAACGTTCGGTTATCTAATTAATACAGTGGAAAGATTGTATATAGTCCTCAGTGGAGCTTCCAACATAAATCTTGGCATCTTTGTTTGCTGTATTGAAGCTTCTTGGTCTTAAAGCAACTCCAGTTCACTATTAAACTCTGTGTTTGCTGATAAATAAAATTTACATTCTACGCCGGTTCCTGTCATAGACAGACTGACATGCTCTGAAGAGAAATAAAACAACTAATGAAAGCTACTTTTGCCCTCGATCTGTTGTAAAATATGGAAGACCGTAACTTAACTTTTCTTCAGTTTTCATTTTATAATTTGCTTTGTACAACAGTCTGACAGAGCCAAAAACTTTGCTATGTAAAAGCAAACGATGGAGCTTGCAATTATTCATCACTTTGTGATTGTCTAAATGTCGTGGCTTAGTATCATAATAAAGCTGTATATTATTACTATTTATTACTATATTATTACTCTTTAAAATAGAAACCAGACGATACAAAGTTAGCTAGAGCTGTACTTATCACTGCGGAACCTGCTTTGGAAAGTAGAACAATGAAAATCGCTTGAGGGGCTCTCGATATTTCAATGAAACATTGATTATTCTAATACGTCAAGCATGAAAAATGTATTTCAAAGTTTCTGGGGTGTGAAACATATGCTAGGTGGAAGGCGAGATAGGCTGACAATCCAGGCGGGATGTGCAATGCGGGATTTGGGATAAAAATTTCTTAGCTTGTGATGCCTGTGCTCATTTTAATCAGGAAGTGCGGGATAACTTTGAAAATGAGGGACGGGATGCGGGATGAAAAACTGCAATTCACAGTTACTCAGTGACTGGAGAAATTAATTTACCTTTCGGGAGTCTTTTGAAACACTAATGAGTTAAAGAATAGGGGTTTTCAAAACAGCTTGCCAATCGCGTTTCAGTCACACCAGTGTCATTAACTGTAACTGATTTTGAATCGTCTTTAATTGCACGAGTTAAAAGTAGTTAGTGATTACGGTTACAAATTCTCTCAGGTTCTTTTCTTGTGTTGAAAAAGTAGATCGACTGTGAACAGTTTACTTAACGATTTCAGTCTACTATGAATAACAAAGCTATTAGAATATTGATTTATACTCACTGGTTTTTGGTGAGTCGACCAGAATGAAACCAAACTGAATACGCGTCAATAGCAAGACCTTTTCCTCTGAAAAGTAGAAAAGAAGGAAAAGTTACGCAAATTATTACTGCGTAAACGATGCTTCCAAACAACTATTCGCGTGACTTGATTTTTCGCGTGACTCACTATTAACTCTTACAACAAGAAGAAAATCAGTCGCGCGATTTATGGAAACCTTTCCCGGTGTAAATTTCAAGTATTACATATCAGCTAATTATGAACTTTAAAGTTTTCAAGAAATTCCGTGGCAAACTAGAATGTTTGAAGCGCTGTTGACTAAGAACAAAAGACCCAAACTGGACACGCAAGCGGATTCCATTGCCGCGAAACTTTTTACATAAATGTTTTCATGTAACGTTTGCTAATTTCATTTTCTCACATCCTGAGTACTATAAATATGCCTTGCCGTTATTTTTGATTTATTCATTCGACACTGATGACATGAAGTCGTCGAAACGTCATGTAATTTTACTCACGTTAATTTTCCTGCCTAAATCAGCTATTTCACTGAAAAAGTTAACGTTAAAAAGCAACGACGTTTATAATTTTACTCTTTAACTTGAAAATGACCGTGGAACGGTCGAAACGTCGTTGCTTTTTAACGTTAACTTTTTTAGTGAAATCCGTTTCTAAAAGTTTGTTGATTTAAATCAGCTATATTTATTATATGTGCACCCAACGGTATCAGTCACGGACAGCTTGCAGTTCATAAACTTATCGTGTTCAGTTTCTCAGTCTTGTGATGAAAACGAAACCAAAGTGATAGAAACTGAAACAACACTGGGGGGTTTCCCTGCAAGACAATAGGAGGTCCAATATATAGAAAGTCAAAACAAATTAAAATTGCAATGAGTTTTCAACGTTGCGCAAAACAATCAAATAAAAACATTTAAAGGTAAGTTATATTTTTTCTATTCCTATTCCTTGCTAAACACTGACGGTAAAGTCCAATAGCTTTTAGAGCATATTGGGTTTTTGAGTAAAGCTAATAATCAGTGAACTGGTTATCAAGCTAGACAAAGTTCTTTGTTGTCTGTTGTAATTAACTCTTTGGTTTAACCGTGCATAAAAACAATAGGAGTTAACTCAGTTCTGTCTCCAACTCGTTTTAATTATGTAATTAATACACTGTGAATGATAGCAAATCGAAAGATTGTTCCCAGCCCTGGATCTTTCAAAAAAAGGCAAATCACGGTTACAAAGTGACTAGAGTTATTAGTTTACCTTTTGTGAGTGCTCGGAAACACTAATGAGTTAAAGAGAAAGAATTTTTTTAAACAGCTTGCCAATCGTGTTTCGGTCACACCAACGTCGCTACTTATAACTGGTTTTGATTAGTCTTTAAATACATGACATCAAAGTTAAAAGTAGTTAGAGATTAGCGTCGAAGTGGCGATCACAAATTCATTCAGGTTCTGACTTTGTGTTGAAAAAGGAAATTGACTGTGAACAGTTTACATCACTATTTCAGTCTGTTATGAATATGTTATAACTAAGCTAAAATCATTCTTCATACTCAGTAGCTTTGGTGAGTCACCAGAGTGAAACCAAAACCCATACGTATCAATAACAGGACCTTTTTCTCCTGAAAAGTAAGCAAAAAGGGAAAGTTAAGCAAATTATTACTACAAAAAAACGGTGCTCCCAAACATTCATTTGTGTGACACTGCAGCTTGCCTCCAAGACAATAGGAGGTCCGATGGGAAATCAACACAAATTAAGATTAAAATAAGTTTCAAGCGTTGAGCAAAACAATCGAATAAAAACATTCGAAAGTAAGTTACATTTTTCTATTCCCAAATTGTTGAATAATGACAGGAAAAGACTTACAGCTTTCAGAGCATATTGGGTGTTTTAACATAGCTACTATTCAGCACAATGGTTTTCTAGCTAAACAAAGTTCTTTCAATTGTTGTCTGTTGTTGTTCTGTTGTTGCTCAGATTGGATATTGGAATGCCCAGTGAGCGGACGTGTCTTCGATCGCTCCAAGATCAGTTTGAACTTAAGTAGTTTTTAATATACCTAATGTCATTGTAACATCATTGAAAAAGGAAAATGACAGCCTGAAAGCAGAAATTGCTACCCTTAGACGTGGATTGAAAATCTGCAGCAAACTCTCACGCGTAACGATGCACAGGAATCTGGCAATGGCGGCGAAGCAAGCTGCTCCATCACGAAAGACGAAGCATTGAACACTCTTCAATTCTATGGAAAAGCTTACGACGATCTCCGCTTGGAAGCTGATAAGAGTCGTAAATTGTGGTCACATTTAAATGCTTCAACTTCTCGAGTAGATGATATCGGAAATGCAATCGATGAAATTCAGCGTTACAGCTACCAGTACAATGTCCAGATAGTTGGTCTCCCCGAAATCGACCCGCGAGAATCGGCATCCGCCACTACGTCTTTATGCATAAGCCTCCTAAAAGCTTCAGGAGTGGATATGAATAACCAAGATTGCGACATTGCGCACCGTGTCCCGACTAGACAAGTTACTACTGGCCCGAGACCGGTTATCTGCCAATTTACTCGAAGAATCGTCAAAGAAGAAATTATCAATCAAATGAAGGAAGCTTGCAAGGTTTCTGCAACGTCGATTGGTTTACCAGCCGAATGTTCGCTGGGAAATGTGAAGATTTTCGATCATCTCATTCAAAGGAAGGAAGCTTACAAGGTTTCTGCACAGGCGGCCCAGACGTTGAATATGATTAATACGTGACATTATGCTGTTGGCGGTTGCGTTACAATTTTAGCCGTTTATAAGACAATGTATGAGAAT